TAAAAACATGGCACTTCAGTAAAAGCAATGGCTCTGTTATTCTGTGTAGAACCATTTCATGTTTAAATGGTTCTTTGCATGATGAAATGTTCTTCAGATTGATGGAGAAGGTGTTGTATATGGGTCTGCGTTAGAACCTATAGTGGCACATAGAAAACCTATAACTACAATTACATTTATTCAGTGCTTTACAAACTGCACTGCATTAAATCTAATTAAACAGGCCTAATTATGCTCACTTTGTATTGAAACGTGTACTTTGTCAGTGTTCAAGTACTGACGATATCCTCAATATGCTCAAAAAAGTGTATTGTGACATAATTTATCACAATAACAATAAAGTATTGTCCTACTGCCCACCCCTGCCGTTATCTACAGAAGCGTGTTCTCGTTACAAGATCAGGCCCGGCCAAGACGCGGATGGGATGGGCACGGTTGAGTAAAGTTTGATTTGGAAAGTGATGACAGATCTGTGACTCGGCTCTTACCAAACATCTTCACTTCTCGTTTCCCACAGAGGCACCAAACAGTCAGAAAACAGCTTCACTGTGGTAGCATTCCAAGAATCGGGCCAGGCCGAGTTACCACACTCACTACTTCCCTTAAACCCTGTTAAAGCCAAAAGCACAAAATTAAATATACCAATTTCCACCTGACCCCAAATATAGGCTCACATCTGCTTCTTCAGCCTTAACACTGGAGCTACTGTTGCTTATAAGTACCCTACAGATTAGCATTGTGCTGACAGAAAGGCTGTACGCATCAGACGTGCCTCAAACTGCTTGATATATCGATAAAAACTGGAATAGTTCAGGACTCAGGATATTTGCTGCTAGTCTTTAGCTATGCTAATGTACTTTAGTCTATGTTTATGGATAACAGTGAGTCATACAGTGTCAGAAACTACATAATCAAGACTGTTAGAGATACTGAACAGCTCCACACAGTTTGAAGAGAGTGTGGGATGATTTAGCCCTGCAGTTAGCACCATGCTAACTTTTTGGGTACAAGCTTCCATTACTTGTTAGCTACATTAGCCTTCATTAGACTTCAGACACCAAACGTGTCTCAGCTGATTGACTACATTTTGGGCTGAAAGGGGGAAAACCGGCAGAGTTAGTTTTTTTTGCAGAGCTATCGCTTTAAGATGGCCAACTCAAGGTCTTATATGAGGACCAGTTTACATCTGTTCCTTTTGAGTGAAAGAGAGAGAGAGAAAGAGAGAGAGAGAGTAGATTAGAGCTTCAGAAACAGAAACCTCTCTGGGCTCTTCCCTCTCCCACCTGCTCTGAGTGCAGATGTTAGTGACAGGTGGATTAGCTCATTTGCTTTCGGGATAATACCAGCCTTCTTCTACTCATTCACACACACACACACACACACACACACACACACACATACAGTTATATGTAATAATATGTCTATAAGCACTTATTTACCCCTGTATATTTACATATATATGTAAATTTATACATATGTATATATATTTGCATAACTGCTGTCAGAAGAAAAGATCTCTTCTCATCCATAATGAGAACTTTACAGGAGAAGGATGTAAATCAGTGGAACCAGTTTTTTCCCTAAGTACTTTAGGGTTATCTGTTTTTGTTTGTCATGAAATTTTATATATATATATATATATATATATATATATATATATTGTATTTCTTTACTTGCATTTATTTGAGAATATATATGTGGAGAATAGATATGTGGTGATTTTAATATCACTGTGCAGAAGTTTTCAGCACCTAAACACATTTTAGGTTTAAACTCATTTATTCTGGCAATGTTTTTGGTTAAAAATGTTGTTTTAACTTTAGTGTTCAGGCTGCCTTACAAATCAGAGTTCATCGAATTTCGAGTAGCAAGTTAATGAAACAAGAACCTGTGTTTTACGCTCTATCAGCTGTAGTTCAAATAACTCAAAATTAAACCCCCCAACTTTTTCCCCAAAATTACTTGATGTCTTCTGAGCGGCTTAACATAATGAAGTTTAGATTAGATAAAACAGGCACTGGATGATAACTACAGGACTACTGGAACTACTGGACCTATTAACCTAGAGAAGTTTATAAATGGATAAAAACAGTGAAATAGTACATTGAAGGTACAGCAGAATGACAGTAACTCTTTAAAGGTGAGGACATGAGGAATGGGTTCATCTATAATAAAACAAGCCTTGTTTTATAGTATAAAGCTGCTGGTAAGTTTCATTGGACGGCTGTAATCCTGAGTTCACAATGATACTGATACAGCCGTGTACAGTAGTGGTATGTCCCGTTCCATGGTCTAGAGCACGTATTCTTCCTCTAGTTAAACGTGTTTGTGTGTGGGTGAGTTTTTTTTAGCTGATAAAGAGATGCGACTGTTTGCGGGGGATGATCTCAGGTTTAGGCCTGTTAACTCAGCGGTTCTATAACAGGCCTAGAGAACCTTCTTTGGGTTTCCTCCTATGTCAAGTACTAATAATACATATATAGAGCACCTCATTTTGCTATGCTGCTAACATGTAATTATGTAAATTACATTAAAGGAGAACTCCACTAGTTTTTCAAAAGTTCAGCAGAGTTAAATGGTGAAGATGGAAACAGAGTCGTTCAGAGTGGTCTGGTGTGAAATGCTCTGTTCTAGAGAAACTTACCAACTCAGAACTGTTCACAGTGGTGGTGATAGGAACCAGACAATCCTCCTCTAAAAGTTCCCTCACAGAAAGTTATTATATGAAATGGTTATGAATTCACTGCCTGAGGTCTGATGATAGTTTTGAGAAGATTTTGGCCTTAAAATCCATTCATGGTGGAGGGATACATGCAGTGTGTTTTGAGGCAAGTTATTATTTCAGATTTTCCACAAATTTTCCTTCATTAACATTCCATATAAAACTCAGAAGACACATTTGGTTCACTGGTGGTTTTGGATAGTAAATAAAAATGTCTGTAAAGACATCAGAACCATTTCACACCAAACACTTGGAATCACTCTGTTTACATCTTAGTGAGTGAATTATGCAGGATTTTTAAGAATTGGGGGAGTTCCCCTTTAACGTTTGACTTCTGTTCTGTGCGGTCAGTCAAGTCTGCTGTTTGAAAGATTTTGTTTGCTTCAGTGTCAAAATGAGAAAAACAGCTAAACTCTCCTTTAATTTCAAACCGTAACGAATCAGAAATAATTCATAGGAAATTACAGAATTATATTTTGTATTCCTTCCGCCCAGTGATAGCTGGGAAAGGCTCCGGCACCCCACCACGACCTAGAGGGATGAGCGGTTTAGATGTGTGTGTGTGTGTGTATTTTGTATTTTTTTCTCAATGGTCCAGTTCCAATGAATGTGACCTCGCCTGAGTGTCTTCAGCTTTGTTAGCTTTGAGCTGCTGTTGTAAATAAGCAGACGGGCTAATCCAGCCGTCTCCGGGTCTGTTTTAATATGAAAGAGCTGAAGTGTTAGAGATGAGGAGCGAGCGGGCTTAATGGCAGTTTGTAAAGGTTGCTTCGTGAAGGCTCTTGTTGTATTGAAGTGTCGTTGTTGTATTGAGCCCTTTTAGGAAAGGCTGGATGTTCTAAATGAAAGGAGACGACTTAAGAATCCACTTTCATTCGAGTATGCGTTATCCGAACCCACCAACGCCCCCACCCCCGGGCAAAGAATGCTGGAACCAGGCTAGCCGCCACAGCACGTACACTGCAGGCCCAAAATCTGAAAGCAATACAGGCTTTATAAACATAAACTTCATACCTTATATAAGATTTTTGCTCCAGTCATTTTAACTCCTGCAGCCCTTCATTTAGGCCCAATATTTAAATTTGGTTATGCTAAGTCTTGAGCTACACTCTTACAAATGGTTCTCCAAGAGTTCTGTATAGCACCATTTCAAGCTTATATGGTTCTCTGCATGATAAATTCATTCTTCAGATTGATGGAGAATGTGTTGTTTACAAAAAGTGTACAGCTCAGCTCTCCTGCTCTGTGAGAGTGACACCTGATGGCGTCTGCTGGTATTACATGTAATGTTTAATGTTGGTGTAATCGGTTTTGTTAGCTGTAACTTTGTCCCTCTAGCATTAGTTTTGCAGCTATTTGCCGAATGTGATGCTGAAAGCCAACATGAATTTTTAAAATATGAATATTTTTAGTGTTTTCATTTGGTTTTAAGAGCTGGGAGTTCAAGGTTGTTGTATTATTGCTGCATCAGTGCTGTTATTGTTATTAGACCCCCCAGCCTTCCCACCCCGTTAATTTCTTAATTTGGTTCTTATGCAGGCTGTAATACAGACATATGCAAAGACTTTGGCACCCCTGGTGAAATTATGCATTAGGGGGATTTTCTGAGTGTAAATAAGTTACACATCCTCTACAAAGATACACTACTGCACATTTAATGCACAGTTACTGTTTATTTGCTGAATTTGACACATCAGAGAAAAAATAAAACATAAAATGTGGCCTGTGCAAAAGTTATGGCACATTTTGTGTTGTGTTTTCTTTTTTCCAAGATGTTCAATTTAAATAAATATAAATAAATCTAAGTAAATAAATATAAATTGTGCATCAAAATGATAATAATAATAACTTTTTATTTATATAGCACTCAAAGTGCTTCACAGACAGGGGATAAAACAAGAAATTATAAGTATTCGTTTAGAATCGTATAAGAAAATGACACAGATCAAATAAAAGATAAATACCACGAAAATTAGCAGAAAAATGAAAATGCAATATTTATGTCTCCTGTATTGTTCTATAACATTCCCAGACTTTGGTATAGCAATATTTCTGCCAATAAAGCAGCTTCTACTGAGCTGAACTGAATTGGCTGTTCATTAAATTAATCATTGCTGATCTCTCTCTCTCTCTCTCTCTCTCTCTCTCTCTCTCTTTCTCTCTCTGTCTCTCTCTGTCTCTCTCTCTCTCTCTCTCTTTTTCTCTTTCTCTCTTTCTCTGTCTCTCTCTGTCTCTCTCTCTCTCTCTCTCTCTCTCTCTCTCTCTCTCTCTCTCTCAGGCTAAGCGGAGGTTGGATTTGGAGGATCCTCTGTATCTGCAGGGATTCAGAACACCCAAAAGCAAAGCCAACACAGCCAGACTCTCCAGCCCAAACAGTGAGAGAGATTTCTAGAACGTGTTAGAGACATCCTCCAACTGACTTATTATAGAATGTTGAAACAAGTCTGTTAGCAACACCCCGATAGTCATGTGTAACATCATAGCAACCACCTGGGATACCATAGAAACCGCATAGCAACACCCTAGCAGCAACCTGGGATACCATAGAAATTACATAGCAACACCCTAGCAACCACCTGGGATACCATAGAAATCACATAGCAACACCCTAGCAACCATCTGGGACACCATAGAAACCGCATAGCAACACCCTAGCATCAACCTGGGATACCAAAGAAATCACATAGCAACACCCTAGCATCCATCTGTGATACCATAGAAACCACCTAACATCTTAGCAGGCTAAAGCTGCACAGTCACTTTGCATTTTCTTGAGAAAATGCACTTTTCTAGATTATATTGATCTGTATCAGTAAAAACAGAATATCAGTGAAAAAAGCTGAACCCTCATTGTTTTCTTCAACTTCTCTTCTCCATCAGCGCCGAAATCTCCGGGTGAGCGGACGCGGTACGACACCTCCCTCGGCCTGCTGACCAAAAAGTTTGTGGGTTTGCTGAGCGAGTCGGCCGATGGCGTTCTGGACCTGAACTGGGCCACCGAGGTCCTGGAGGTCCAGAAGAGGCGAATCTACGACATCACCAACGTGCTGGAGGGGGTCAAACTCATCCGCAAAAAATCCAAAAACAACATCCAGTGGCTGTAAGCGCGCAGTCTGTTTCTTAAAATGGCTAATAAACAGATGATTTTGATAAAACACATCCCTACAACCATGCGTGTGTCAAGAATTTAACCGTTTTCTTAGATAACTGTGTGCCATACAGTGTTATAAAGCAATCTGTCTTTTCTTCAGTATTTTTATTGTTTTATATTGTGTGTCAGGGTGAGTGGCGTGTTTGAGGGCTCACCGGCCGGTTCGGAGCGGACGAGTGCTCTACGGAGAGAACTGGCCGAGTTGGAGAGGAAAGAGAAAGTTTTGGACGAGCTCATCCAGTCCAGCAACAGTCAGCTCCGAGAACTCACCGAAAACAAGGACAACCAGAGATATCCTTACATCTTTTTATTAGATACTGAAATAGCACCTTGTGAATGAACCACATGCCTCATGAACAGCAAACAAATCAACCAGCAGAACCAGCCTTGAGCACCACTCTGAGCAGCTCTGAGCTTCATTATTGGAGCGAGACGAAGGCGAAAAGATTCTTTCGCACCGTTCACTGGTACTAATGTAAGGTTCACAGTCCATGTGCGGTAAAAGAAAAACATATGAATTTTGATCTGATTATGCCATCTTATTCTGCTCATTAAGGTGGCATTGCTACGAATCTGATCTGTATCAGATCTAGAACCACATATGAAAGTGGCTCAGAACTGATTTGAAAAGATCAGGTTTGTGTGTCCACACTGAAAACATCTGATCTGTTCACATTAAGGTTAAAAAATCAGACTTTTGCCTCTTCAGTCTGGTAATGTGAACAGAGCCTTAGGCTCAAGTGCGGCTGCTCCAGAGCGTCCTGCTCTTTTTGTCAGTGCTTTTCTGTGGAGATATAATCTATGTCAGCAATATGTGACCTTGGAGTTCATTCATTAGAAAAGATAAAATATAATGGAAATCTCACATGAAAATCTCATGCATATTGGCCACTTTAACAGAAACACCATATAGATGTACTATAGGTTTACAGTTACAGACTATAGCTCTCTGAGTATTTTGTACACCCTGTTTATACAGACATTATATACATTATGGCTGAATGTAATTGTTTTTATATCACAATTTGACAGAGTGCAATTTTCTGATCACAAGAGTTTTTATTGTAGCCTACATTGTCAACAGTGCTGTCTTAAAAAGTTTAAAATGGGGAAATTTACCCGATCAACACGCAGTTCACAAACTACCTGACCAATCAGAGTCAACCAAACTCCCATGTGCTGTGACATCACAACCACAGCTCATTGGCAGTCAATTAAATATTTTCCCCAAATTATTCAGCACTAATTAGAAGCTTAACACGAAAAAGCTCATAGAATGTTTCACCGAGGTGGAAATAAATAAAATTCCAGTTTAACTGAGTGGATATATGTGCTGTGATGCTGTTTATCCTTAACTCCTCCCACGTTTGGCTATGTGACATATCAGGACATTCGCTCTATAGCGAGTCTGCAGGACCAGACAGTCATTGCTGTCAAAGCTCCTTCGGGGACCAAACTAGAGCTGCCAGAAGCAACTGAGGTAAGTGACACAATCACAGCCAATCAGACTCTGTCTTTATTCACTGTCCCAGATTCTCCTATTATTACCTGTCCTAACTCAGAGCCAATCACATTCTCCCTTTATTCACTGTCCTAGCTCAGTGCCAATCACATTCTCCCTTTATTCACTGTCCTAGCTCAGTGCCAATCAGATTCTCTCTTTATTCACACTTAAAACTCAGAGCCAATCAAAATCTTTCTTTATACACCATCCTAGCTCAGATCCAATCAGATTCTCTCTTAATTCACTGTCCTAGCTCAGAGCCAATCAGATTCTCTCTTAATTCTCTGTCCTAGCTCAGAGCCAATCAGATTCTCTCTTAATTCACTGTCCTAGCTCAGAGCCAGTCAGATTCTCTCTTAATTCACTGTCCTAGCTCAGAGCCAATCAGATTCTCTCTTTAAACACTGTGCTGGCTCAGAGCCAATCAGATTCTGTCTTCAATCACTGTCCCAGATTCTCTTATTATTCCCCGTCCTAACTCAGAGCCAATGAGAATCTTTCTTTATACAATGTCCTAGCTCAGAGCCCGTGAGATTCTCTCTTAATTCACTGTCCTAGCTCAGTAATCAGATTCTCTCTTTATTGACACTTAAATCTCAGAGCCCATCGGAATCTTTCTTTATACACCAATCAGATTCTCTCTGAATTCATGCTCATAGATCAGGGACAACTAGATCCCTTTTTCTTCAGGTCTTCAGCCAATGACCCAATGAATTCTTTGTGATTTTTAAATAAAAGGAAACATTTCAATGAATTATTATTATTATTATTATTATTATTTTTTTTTTTCTTTAGACAGAAACTTAATCGAGTAGCTTTGGTTTTTTCTTAAAGCATGTGTTTTATTTACAGCAGAGAAATAACTATTGTATGTTTGCTATTTTGTAATGTATGTATGATTTTTCATGCATTTTTATATACAAACTCCTGATTAACCTGATTACCCTTATTTGTCGCCCCGTCAGCATGGCACTATGCAGATTTACCTGAAGAGCAGGAACGGAGCTATTGAGGTGTACCTGTGTCCAGAGGAGGGTCTGGAAGACTTCAGCCCGGTGAAGGCTGCCAGAAAGGACTTTACTAATGGGGTCACACATACGACCCACAGCAACACTCCACATCACACCCCCAACACACCGTACACCCCTAAACAGCAGCACGGCACTGAAGGTGAGACCGACGGCCACTAACTGTAAATAGAGGAGTTTGCAAGATCTAATTAGAATTATTTTATTGGGGCATTCACTAATTTATGATTTTTTGCTGCCAAAATGGGCCAATGCTAGCATACATGCTAACAATGTTAGCATGAACTGTCAACCAAACAAACATTACCCGTGCAAAGTCTTTACATGGTGATAATCACAAAAATAGACCAAACAGACCAACTAAATCAAACCCTAATAAACTTTACAGTAAAATGTTAACCAAGCAGGTCATGAAAGGACAGAACAACATAACAGTGCAAACATGCTAACGTTACAACCAACATCCAGTAATTATAATCATACTTACAAGATGAAAGTTCATTACTTTTTTGTGACTTATCAAATGCAATAACTGACCATCCTACTTTATTACATACACACGTTCATACAGTAGGTCTGCTTAGTTTATTTTAGGTACATACTTTAATACTGTCTCTATTCACTATATTATATTATACAACAGTTAGTTCCGGCCATGCAAGCTGATTGGTTGAGAGGCGTTCTAACCCGGCTGTTATTTCACAAACACCGAATCACTCTGCTGAGACACCGACTTTGCAAGCAACGACTTTGACAGCTGTTGGAGACGCTCAAGCCGTTTGAACATTTTTACTTCTTACTTTGTGCACAAACAGAAAATGGATACCGTTAAGATGACATTTGACCAACAGCCGATTTGGTCAGACTCTGAAGATGAGACGACACTAAATTCCCAAACTGTCATCACCACTGAGCAGCTTTTCAGTCGGCAGCTGTGACAGAAGAACACCTAAACAACCTGGAATCAGCCAGAAATGAACCCAATACCATTCGTCAAACAGAATGGGCTGTGAAATGCTTTACAGACTGGCCGGAACAAAACAACATTAATATTGATCCAGCAAAAAAAGACAACACTGAGCTAAACTTGATATTGTGGCAGATTTATGGCTCAGTCCGTACTTCAAAAGGCAGGGCTTACGGCAGACTGTGCAGCGAGTGAGCGGAGCTCATTACTCTGACGCAGCAACAAGCTGCTTGTTAAGGAACTATAATTTGGCAGAAGGAACTGCTAAAAGTAAAACATTAAATGACACGTTTACAGCCCAATTTATTTATTTCTTACTTTATTTATTTAACCGTTGTATAAAAGCAATAGAACACTCGAGGTTGTGTGTTATCGTGAACAATATCACGGCTGTCACAGCTGTGATGTTATTTAACGATAACACACTTCCTCACTTTTAATCAGTAAACAAATACAATGTTGCTAATCAAACAAATGAATCATCTAATGAAATGAACACTGTGTTGTTTCTCCTCCGTAGCCATTCACGCTAAAGCCCAGCCCTCGACAGACGGCAGCAGCACTGGCGCCACCCTGCTGGATGTGGAGGGAATTTTGGGTCTCCCTCCCAGCCTCCTCCAAATTACTGAAGATCAGCTGCCCGGCACGGCCTTCACCCCTGACCCCTCATTTGTCAGTTTCTCACCCCCCCTCAACCACGACGACTACCTCTGGGGGCTGGATGACGGAGAGGGTGTTTCGGACTTTTTCGACACCTACGATCTGGGAGATCTGTTGAAAAGTTGAGCCAAAGGACCCGATGGAGTTGTCCTTCCCTGAATTTGTGTGAACGGCAGCTGAAAATACCCCACTTGAAAATGTAATATATTCAAAATATATTCAAATGATGGAATACATTGACAGTATGTTGGAACATGTTCCATTTTCCCTATGGAACGAACTGGATGGGCATCTTTTTAATCTTTTTGAATCACTTCTGGATTCTGGACAGCAAGTGAAGACCCAAAATGTCTCACGTTAGCTTTTCAGCTTTTAGATTTCCAGATTCAAACCCTGAAATAGTCCATGAAATACTCTGAACTCAGAATTGATATCAGTTCTGAAGCTCAAACATGATTGGTTTAGCTTATTTTAGTATTTAGCTTTTAGATACAAGGTTAAAATCTTGACACAGCAGATGAAATTCTCTTATCTCAGGGCTGATCTCGATCCTATAGCTGAAACATGATTAGATTGACTGGACAGGAGCCTCAAGATTCAGTTCCAGAATTGTGTCCAAGTTCTTTGTAGCATGTTTTTTCAGGTTTAAACCTTGAAAAAGTGATGAGAATACTCTGAACTCAGGATTGATATCAGTTCTGAAACTCAAACATGATTAGTTCTAAGGGTTCTGAGCAGAAACCTCTAGAATCAGATCCAGAATTGAGCAATATTTTAGCATTTAGCCTGTAGATTCAAGGCTACAATCTTGAAATAGCAGATGAAATTCTCTTATCTCCAGACTAATCTCGATCCTGTAGCTCATACATGATTTTTTTTACGTTTCAGGTTTAAACCCTGAAATAGTCAATGAAATACTCTGAACTCAGGATTGATATCAGTTCTGAAGCTTTGAGGTTTCTGGGCAGGAACCTCCAGAATCAAATCCAGAATTTAGCTTATTTTAAGCTATATTGAAATAGCAGGTGAAATTTTCATATCTTAGGACTGATCCGATCCTGAACCTCAAATATGATATTTGACAGGACGGGAGCCTCTAGATTCAGATCTAGAAGTTTCTTTTAGCATGTTTTTTTAAACCCTGAAATAGTGAGCAAAATACTCCAATCTCAGGCTTTAACTTGATCCTGAAGCTCAAACATGATCAGTTTTGAGGGATTCAGGGAGGTTGGGTTGGAACATCTAGAATCAAACCCAAAATTTAGCTACTTTTAGCTTTTAGATACCAGGTTTAAATCCAGTGAAATGATCTCAGGGTTCAGTCTTAAACTCAAACACATGTAGTTTGAGGGTGTAGTAGGGCTGGGCCTGAAATTCTAGAATCAGTTCCAGAATTATATCCAACTGTGCTGGTGCCGAATATACTGGACTTAAGAGCTCTATAGAAGCTACCCAGTATTGTTCACCAAAAGGGAAGGGGACAGTGTCAGCTCATTAGACTGCTGTCTAAGAGCGCCATCCATAGGCGAGTAAGAAAAAAATAACTTAATTAAATGATGAACTTGAGAGCACCCTCTAGAGGCACTCTAGATAGATTTAATACACTATAAAGCCATTGTTTTTTTGACATAGCCATATCAGTTAGCTAGTTAGTTAGCTAGACATATATAGGGTTGTAATAGGTATTTTGAAGCAAAAATATTTTTGTATTTTGTAATGTATTTTTTTTCAGTCGCAGCCAATACTGACTGAAAATGTTTTGTGAACTGAACTGCCAACGAACGTCGAGATTTAAAGAAAGATTTGAATCAAACTCAGGAATTTTTGACGTCTTCCAAAGCTGAACATTGTATACTGTGATGTTTGTTTCTTGTAATGAATAGTGTTTGCCAGTAGAGGGCAGGAGTAGACCAGTATCGCTTGGTTTGACCTGAAATATTCAGTGCTTATATGAAAAATCCATCAAAGGCAGTTTTTAAATTCTGAAACCTGAACATGGATCTAACACCACTTGCACAATACACGGCATCTGTGGTGCCACTCATACAATATGCACATTTACACGTGGAAAGAAATGATTTCTTGGCAAGTTTATAATTTTTTAGTAAAATTACTATAAAAGTTTGTTTTACTAGATAAAATTACCCATGTAAAAATAAAAAAGTAAAACATACTGTTCAGTTAGATTGTTTAACTAGAAATAAGTGTAATATTATTCCAACACTCAAAAAAAGACAAATATTAGATATATTGACTAGATTTAAGATGGTTTAACTTGTCAAGAGATCATTTTTTGCAGTCTATAATATCAGGTGCTTGAGAATTCCAGATTTAGCCTCAATCTAGAGAGATTAAGTCTGGCTCTGGGACTTCAGCTGTTATTTCTTCTACCTCTCAAGCCTTATCTTCCTCAGTGTAATAAGTTAATGCCTTTTAAATCTGCTCCAAAGCTCTGCATATCAGTTAAGTGGTTCCATCCAAAGAGAACTACATTACCGTTCACATGCACAGCTGCGTATGTAAGGATATAAACAATCTGGCAGCTAAGATTTCAATTTTAAGTGATATTTTCCTAAACCTTTTAGCAAATTGTAAAATTGTATGACTATTTTTGTAGAAGAAATGTAAGTTAATCCAAACTTAATGTTACAAAGTGATTTGTTGGTCATCTTTCATCTTTTAAGTGAACTTAAAAAAGTGAAGAGGTTTGATTTATTGTTTATTTTTATAGCTGATTCAAGGGTGAATGTACGTGATGCGGCTCTGAACATTAATTTAAAGCCACGGTCTGCTTTCCCGCACTCAGATTTGGCTTTGTTGTGTGTTTAAAGCGATAGTTTAGCTTTAAATCAAATTCCCACAGTTTTTCCCATCCTTACCCCAAATGTAGTCGATCAGCAGAGACATGTTTGGTGTCTAAAGTTTGCTTCCTTAGTTTTAGCACTGGAGCTACGAGGCTAATGTAGCTAACAAGTAATGGAAGCATATACCTCACCAGTTAGCATGGTGCTAACTCAGCTGTGCTAACTCAGCTATGCTAAAGTACTTTAGTCCATGTTTATAGATAACAGTGAGTCATACAATGTCAGAAACCACATAATCAAGACTTCATGCTAATTGGTTGCTTGTTAGCTACATTAGCCTCGTAGCTCCAGCGCTAAAACTAAAGAACTTCAGACAACAAACACGTCTCGGCTGATCACCTTGATTTCTCTACACTCAACACTTAAAACTGTACAAAATTCCTTTTCTGTTTTTAAGTATGAAACTGAATAAATCTGTATTATTCATCTGTAGAATTCTGAGGTAAAACATTAGCAGAGAATTCAGTCTAAGTGTGAACAGGCTTGGCTGTGATCTAAAGCTTTATTTAAAGACTGACTTGTTCTCTGTGCAGGTGATGAAAGTTTAGATCAGTTTTTTTTTTGTCCAGGGTTTTTCTCATTTACTGTCCCATGTGTGGACGCACGTCCTGTCCTAACAAACTTGAAAATGGAGTGGGTTTAAGTGTAAAAGTGTGTGTGGTTGGTTTAGGAGGGAATGGGTTTCAGTTTTTTAGCGAATTTCAGTTTCTAGTTGAATTTTAAATGTAGTTTTTTTTGGTAATAAGCATTATATATTTTGTCAATTGTACAGAATGGCTTTGTATTTATAATGATTATTTGACCGAAATAATTGTATTAGTGTAAACATGTAAATGAGCTTCTGTAAAACAGGCAGCACTTAATGTTCTCCAATGTTATGGTGTTTTGTTTTTCTTTCTTTTTTTTTTTTAATGAATAAAACCCGGGTGTGATGATTACTTGTTTTAGCTTTTGCATTCTTGGTTAGAATGGTTCTTGATCTCTTAAACCAGAATTCCTCCACGCCAAACTCCTCAAACCATGTCTTTGTGGAGCTGCTTTGTGCACAGGGTCTCAGTCCTGCTGGAACAGGAAAGGCTCTTCCCCAAACTGCTGACACAAAGCTGGAAGCATATAATGGTGTAAAATGTCCTTGTGTGCTGTAGCATTAACATACACACTGGAACTAAGGGGCCCAAACCCTGAAAAACCCCCCGCCCATTATCCCTCCTCCACCAAATTTTACCGTTGGTAATATGTATTCCAGTAGGTGGCGTTCTCCTGGCATCTACCAAACCCAGATTCATCCATCAGACTGCCAGACAGAGTAGCGTGATTCATCACTCCAGAGAACACTGCTCCAGAGTCCAGTGTTGGTGTGCTTTACACCACTCCAGCCGACGCTTGGCATTGCACATAGTGATGTTAGGCTTGTGCGCAGCTGCTCAGACATGGAAACCCATTTCATGAAGCTCATGACGCAGTTCTTGTGCTGATGTTGCTTCAAGAAGCAGTTTGGAACTCAGTAGTGAGTGATGCAGTAGAGGATATGAGATTTTTATTTGCTGTGCACTTTAGCACTTGGCAGCCCTGTAAGTTTGTGTGGTCTACCGCTTCGTAGATGAGCTGTTGTTGCTCCGAGATGCTTCCATTTCACAAACAACACTTACAGTTGGCTGGGGCAGATCTAGCAAGGCAGAAATTTGACACAACTGACTTGTAGCAGAGGTGGCATCCTGTGACAGTGTCACATTTAAAGTCACTGAGCTCTTCAGTATGACCCATTCTATTGCCAGTGTTCGTCTATGGAGACTGCAAGACTATGTGCTTGATTTTATACACGTGTTAAAAAACCTGGCCAAACACTCGATTAAATACTTTCTCATCGGGTCATGTATAAAAACACAGTAAGCATCAAAAGTGGATATATGTATCTGTATATGTATCACTTCATCTGCAAATGTATTCATAGATAAACATTTTTCAGCTGTCATGTTTTCAGATAAACCTTTTATCTGTTTGCTGTCGGCGCCACCAAGACAGGAATATTGACAGGCTGGGACTCTCGGTGACAGTGATTGTAACAGTCAACTATGTCAAACTATTTTCCACATGAAGGAGGAAACTCGATGCAACAAGTTGTGTAGCAGTTGTGAATCAGTTCTTGCACTTATTGCTTTTAAAGAGGCAACCTTTTCTCCAAAGTCCTCTGGAGCAACTAACAAGTGCAGGATTATTTTGATGCACCAGGATTTAACAGTAGTGTTGAAAGCAGGAAGTTAAACCAGGTAAAAGAATGCTCAGAATTTTTTTTAAAGTAAACCAACAAGGCTTTGCGTAGACAGAGCAGAGTCTGAGGCTTAATTCACAGAGATGTTTGCCGACTTACTGGAGCGAGCTGTGGAGCTGTGGAGGGAAATCCCAGGCTATAGAAAAAAGATCTCTTTGACTCAGAATGCAATTAGATTTAGAAGAGCTGGAATTCTAGTTTACTGCACACAATGGAAAGAAGAGAGGTTTCATCTCAACCTCCTCTACGTTTGTTGTGTTTGTGTACTTTCTACTTTTTATGCACACTGTAATGATGACAAAATAACAAAATCTATCTGCAATCTTGTTTTTTTTCATCCACACTCCACGAAGTCCCTCCCCCCTACACTAAGATTGGCTAATAGTATATAGTCTCAATATTCTGAGTTTCATTTCTAACATTCGTCCTCGAAAAGAGCTGAGCACCAACACTGAGCCAGGTAAGTATTTTTCTAACCTTATCACAAAACTATTAGAAGGAAACAATATTCCCAGATGAGATGAGAATAAAAAAAGATCAACGTGGTCGTGTGCATGACTCAGGATAAAAAATGCTTTAAGGCTGGAAAATGGTTCAAAAGAGAAATTATAGATCGGTAAAAGGATAGAAAAAGATCTGATTTGAGCTTTTAATTTCATTTTGTTAAAGGGGAATTACAATTTTTTCACAATCAAACTGCATAATGAAATAATTAAGACATAGGCAAAGTCGTTCAGAGTGATTTGGTGTGTAATTCTCCATTCTAGAGAAACTGAGTCAGAATTGTTCCCAGTAGTGGTGATAGGAACCAGACGTCCACCTCTAAAATCTCCCTCACAGAAAGTTATTACATGAAATGGTTATAAATGCACTGCCTGATGTTTGAGACACTGTTTTACGATAATTTGAGAAGATTTTGGCCTTATAATCTATTCATAGTGGAGGGATACATAATATACAGGGTGTTGTGGGGCAAAATAGTCCCCAAAGAAAACTTATTATTTCAGATTTATGAGTATTTTCCATCATCAACATTCCATATAAACCTCAGAAGACACGTGTAGGTTCACTGGTGGTTTTGGATAGTAAATAAAATGTCTATATTAGTGTTGTAGTCATGGTGACCCCTGGTTCCTATCACCACCACTGTAAAGAAATCTGAGTCTCTAAATGTTATAAACAGTATCTAAAAAAAATAACTAGTCATCTTTTTACATTTTTCTATAGGATTACCAGCCAACTGAAGCACAACCGTAATGGCCGAACTGTACAACAGGGTAAGCCTTAGCTTTTAATATTAGTTGTCTGATTCAGCTTATGAGTTTCAAAATACATTCCCAGAATGACTTCCCAATCTGTTAATCATCCCATCTTGGCGGTGGCCAAAAGCACACAGATAAAACACTTTATCCGAAAACATGGTAGCTGAAGAATTTACAGCTACTCTTTTGTTAGCAGGTGAGGTGAAGCACAGCGAGATATCCCCTTGTGAAGCTCACCGTGTCTTTATGCATGACCATGAGAAAATATTTAATGGAACGTGTGGACAGGTTTACTGGTTTGTGTATTTATTCTGGGAGTCTTTGATAAACACAAGGCAGAAGTTGACATCTTGTTCGCCAGCTTCTTTTTCGAATTTTCCATCCCACCTGAAACAGTGCAGCAATACCTAAATACGCCAGACTGTAACTGCTGCACCATGAAAGGGGCACTGTAAAAAAAATGTTGTTTAACTTAAAAAAGTTAGTCGTCGGGCTACCTTCAACTTTTGGGTTAATTGAATTTGGAATAGAATGTTAACAGAACAAGAATTTGTGTTTTATGCCCTATCAGCTTACTGTTTGAAGTTCAACTTATTCAAAATTTTAAGGCAGCCCGGACACAAACTTTTTAAAGTAAAACCCCAGATTCACAATGTTGGACAGAAAATTCTATAGTCCACACAGATTCCAGTTGATGTCATTTAGGTCATTTAGGCCAAAAGGCAAATTAAAATCGCAGTTTTGAATTAGATTTTTCATTTTGAGCCCACAGTGCATGCATAAGTGGGAAATTTAAATGTGACCATTCAAATGCACGGCACTTTTACATAATATGATTTCATTTTTCTTTTGATACTAATGTCTTTTCATGACTTTTCCAGAATGCTTCCCACCTTCCATCCAGCGACTGGTGGGAGGGGCACCAGGACCCCTCGCAACACAGCAGGAGAGGTGGCGTAGAAAATGTGTGTGTATATCCTTAATATATACACACACATATATTTCACAGCATCAACTATTTTGACTGCACTGGTCTTTGGTTTAAATGTTTAAACTGTGCAGGAGCTTTTTGTTTGCACTGTACTGCTTAATTTTAAACAGGACCTCTTACTGAATGTTGCGCAAAAGAGGGCACTCAATCAGAACAGTACTCATTTAAATATTATATATATTTAAATTTAATGGGTTTTTTTCTGGCTCACAGCAAGCAACGGATAGTCTAAGAGCTGGCCAGTCTCTGACAGGTACCTCTGTTGAGCAAATATCCCAGAGTATGAAAACATGGAGAAATGTCACCATTCAAATCACCAATTACAGCACAACTTACACCTTATCAAATCCAAGGCAAGTACAAAGAGTATTTGGGGCCTCATTCTGATTATTGATCAATCAGAAATATAAGTCAGTGTAATGAATACATAATGACGCATCATCTTGAAATATTGGCCTTATTCATCAAAGTTGTGTATACAGATAAATCTGATCGCTAAATAAGCGCTTGTAAATTTCACAGAGAGTTTTGTTATTCATCATTTTCATCTTTGCCGTATCTGTTTGATCAAACTCACGTCTGGAGGGAGTGTGTGTAAACTTGAGCATAACAGACAATTTAATCAGTTGGTCTGCTTTGCTGTGGTGAAAACCTGAAGCCACACCGGCCCTTTGCTGATAGGACTGGACATCCCTGGTTTAATGCAACAAATGTGCCTTGTTATCTGTCTTTCTGTGTATTAGGATCCACACCACCCAGGGATACTGTTTCCATCCTCCACAGCCTACGATTGAAAAAAACACCAGTGAAGCCTGCTGCTTCTCCAAAACCGCACATGTAGCTCGTGGAGCTATTGGAGTCATGACGTACCAAATCCTCACAGATGATAGACACTGTGTTGCTGAACTGGCCATCATGTTCTCTGTGCCTTATGACAACAACTTGTTTAGAAACTGGTTTGCTCTGGGCATTTATAAAACGCCCATATCATGTGATTATAATCTGTTCTATCAGATGTATTATACCAACGGTCCTTTCACCAGAGCCAAAGGTACAGGAAATTCCATAGAATATCATGGAAAACGTGTTTATGTGAAAGGAACAATGTCTGCTTTTGGGCAGTCAATAATGAAAGTTGAATTTAGGGATCGTTAGTCTTGCTGCCATTTACGACTCCATTCCTAGAGCGGGGATCTCATGTTTGGGCGGTCTGTCCTTTTCTAGTGGTCTGCAGGGCTGGAGTAATACAGCTAGAGACAAAACAAAACCTGGAAAAAAAGCCTTTATCTTAACATAATCATGACAATCAATATGAAACAAACTAATGCTAGTTAACTAACTTAGTGATTCGTGTGTATTTATGCTGCATTGGTAAACCCAATACGCACAATATGCACATCACTTTAGGAGCGGTCTTCTGATTTAGCCCCTAAATTGCTACAATTATAAGTTTGAGTGTAATATTTACAGTTTGTGTGTATATTCATGTGTTTATGTGTTTGTTTATGTTAGCAAACAGTAGGCTGACCCTAAGAATATGGTGGACCTATGTCTGTAAAGGCAGACACGACATCAGAAATGGAAGGAGAAGAACACAGATAGAAGGCAGAGCAGATGGCTTGTCTCCTCCTGTTTGATTTGTGATTTTGTTTACCTGCGGGTGCTCATGGTTAATATCATAGGGACAAAGGGAATATGTAGGTTTTTGGCTTGTCTTCTATTAGTCTAGTGAAATACTATGATTGGGAAGAGTATTTGGTTTTACTTTGTATTTTTTCTTTGGCATCATCACTACAGGCTTCTCCATCACTGGCGTAGATAACCTTATTCTACTTGTATGTGAACGTCTTTATGTATTAATAAAGAAGCATATGATAACACTAATTGTCATTGTTTGCCTGGTGGTCTTTGATTCCTGCATGTTGCATTAAGAAGTTACTGCAGTCAAGATGAAGATATGCTTGCAGGACATGCACTTGCTGAATTAGGACGTGCTCACTGCAGAACTTCATGCACGTGCATTATGAAGACTGGCTCATTCAAAGTGAAAACTCTGAACCCTAGACACTCCCACACCCACAGAGTTACGCAGACTGCTTTTTCATCAGTCCAACAGGACTTTTCATTATCAAGCTAAATGCTAACTATTCACCATTAGCAAGCAAACGAGCAAGATATAGTGTCTGGATTTAAAAGGTTTACCAACATAGTGTTTCCAAATGACCAATGAGCCACTTTTAACCACTGAAAAAAAGCATTTTAGTCAGCATGAAATCCATGCTTGTCCAAGCTACAGGGAGATTCACTCGAAAGAGGCCCCGAATATTCACTTGTAACCCCCGTTAAGATGAAGCAATCTGAACCAAAAATACACTACATATCTTGACGTATGTGTAATCAATTGCATTGCATGCGATGCCGGAAGTGTTCTCCATTTTCTGCCAGACACATAAAGGGGTACAGGGGTATGCACCCGGAAGCTGCAAACAGAGGTTAAACATCGCAACGGCTGTCCAGCGCCTATCTCATCACTCCGATGCAGGGGCATCCTGGCTTGTTTGAAGCTCCATATACTGAGGAGCACATTGCATGTTGTTTCGTTCAGATTGCTTTGAGAGAGAGAGTTATTACAGAATATTTGGGGCCTCTTTCAAGTAAATCTCCCTGTAGTTTATCCAGGTTAGTGCTGACCTAGAGCTGGATTATCTGGCTTGAGGCGCCAGAATGTATCTGCTGCACTATTTACTGCGGAACGGAAAATTCGAGTGAGAAGCTGCCGAATAGGCCAGTTTCGGCCTCATCTGTCTTGATAACCCAGCGGCACACGGACCACAGAGTATGAAGGCAGCCGTGATAAATTAGTTAAGGTTAGCTAACTTTAGCTGAAGCTCAATGCTTACCTGTTCAGGAGAAAATTAGCCAACTCGGCATCCATCCTAAAATCTTTCTGGGCTCTAAACTTTCTCATTCCTTCAAATGCATCACGAATATTTACTCTCCTGTTACTGCGTCTCTGGTCATAGAGCTTTTTAGAAGTATGCAGAGGTTTTATTTAGTGCAGGTCGAGTTCATTCGATTGCTTCCAAGGCTGCAGCATTAGATTAGATTAGATACACATCTGGAAAACCAGGGCGTCAAAATGGTGTTGGGAAATGGGCAGTGGGTGGGGTCGCAGGCCAAAACACAAACAGACTGTCCACTCTGGAACAGAAATAGCGCTGTTGTTGGAGAAGCCAGTATTTCAACTTAGCATGTTTCCTTAAGCTCTGACGACACATCTTGGTCATTTTATGATTTAGTACGGTAAATATATTACATATTGCTCCTTTAATACACACGGAATTAACACTAGCTGTTATTTATGTCTATTCATCGAGTTTACAACAATCTCATCAAAATGATGGCTTATATTTGTTACTAAGAGAGTTACTAAGAGATGTGCCTGATAACATCAAAGGTTTCAGCCCACAGACGCTGAAGAGTTTTCAACAAAAGTTCAACTTGCTACTCTTTTGAAAAATGGTTCTTCAAGGGTTCTTTAGAAAAGAAAATGGTTCTATATAGAACCATGAACACTCGTTGAAATGGTTCTTCAGATAGATGGAGAATGGGCTGTAGGTGGTTCTGTATAGCATCAAAAAGGGTTTTTCTATTCTAACAGGCTTGATAATGTAACACTAGAGGAAACCTTTTGGTGCTATATAGAACCCTTTTTAAAATGGTTCTATATAGAACCGTATACAGCACATTCTCCATCAATCTGAAGAACCCTTTTGCTATGCAAAGAACCCTTGAATCATGCAGAGGATTCTTTGAGTGTTCACGGTTCTATATAAAACCATTTACTTTACTAAAGAAACCTTGAAGAACCATCATTTTTCGAGTGTAAGGTAGTCTTTGCTTTGAATGTCAAAAAGGACTTTCATAGAAATGTATATCTTTAAATACTGGACTTTAAAATGGTTAAGCTAACATCCCCCACATGAAATCACAATGTATTGTTTATTCATTTGTTTTATTGTAAAGCTAATGTTTCTTTGAACAAACAAATGCTTACTGCTCAGATAAATAGCTTTACATATAATTTCCCCACATGCTTAAAATGTCTCTACAGCACTATATATGTTCCTCTTCCCCGTGAATTGGGCTGGAACCCTTTAAAATTGGGCTAAAGAAATCAGTAACAATGAAATAGGGACAGCCTGAAGGGCAGTGGAACAGATTCTCTGACATATAGCATATAATACAGATACAACCAACAGTTATAAAACAAATAAACAGTACAATCCTTTGTAAACCCTTATTTTGGTTAGATTTTAATGTGCTCTCCACACTTTCCATTCTAACAAAATTTGTTGCCTATGTTCCTCAAGATATACATTGAATCCACTTACAAACAAATATGGTTTGGCCAAAAATATGACAAAGAATATCATCACTCTTGTACTTTTTTCCCCCAGGTTTCTCTAAAACAAGTTACTGTTTAAGTGTTTATTCTGTACAAGCCTACACGTCAAATTATCTCTATATATCTGTGTCTGTATCTTTGTGATAATCCAGCACAGAAATCCAGTTCAAACACTTCCTAAATCTGTAGAGTCACCCTTTACATTCCATCTTATCACGAGATCATACGTGACTCACATCCGGAGTTATGAGCCTATGAAGAGGGGCTGAGATACACATCTGCCTCTCACCGTGTGGAACTGGTGGATTCGTGTGTCTGTCTACATTCTGTGTGAAACTGACCGATGGACACTCAGGAAATCACTAAGGCCTGACTCATCATGCCGGAAACCCTTCATTCTTCATTCAGTCCACATTGGAGACTCATGTGAAATGGCGTGCAGAGAGTTTACAGCTGCTGAAGCTGCTGCAGCAGTTTTCGAAGGTAGTGATGAAGATAACGGAGCATTTAGATATGAAACATACGAGTATCATGTTATATGAAAAGCCCATAAAGGAGAATTTAAGAAGAAGACAACACCAGACGCCAGAGGGTTAATATTTGCTGGCACCAACTGTTCAAATGAACTGCAGTCCAGTGCGTCCCACAGTATTTTGTGCTGGTGATTTGGTCATAAACTGTTATAGTTCTCCAAGATTTAAAGGTCCCAACTGCTGTTTGCTCGACACAGGTTTTTAATGGGATTTCAGAACAGCGTAGCTTAGCTCTGAACCACTCCTCTGTTCATGTACATGTGTTGTTGGGAATTGTTTTGTTTTATTTTCTTGTTTTACTGATCTTTTTCTTTCTGTTTTAGTTGTTGTTCATTGTTAAACAGTATTAATGCTGAAGGGTTTAAGAATCCACTTCCATTCTGTTCTCATGGTTTAAGCAGTTACAGCAAATGGCCTTACAACACCCTTAGGGAGGATTTCCTAGGACAGAACACTCAGTTTATGACACGAATGTATTTACAACAGGATCTAAGCCTCTGAGAACTCTGTCTTTGGCCTTTTACAACGGTACCAAGGGTACTGAAGGGGGGGGGTTGATGGCCAGGTATAAGAGTGGTGTGTCTCAGTTTCTTTTTAGACTGGTTTTGGGAGCAGAACTGGACAGAGCGCTGATTTATTCTTTGAATTAACCATGATTAATTCTACGAACCCCAGCCTCCTGAATCTCTTCCATGGCAAGAACAAAGATTTCCTCAGTGTGTGTACACGTAGGGTGTTTTTTATTTGTTTGTTTTTTTAATATATTTAGAGTCAGTTGGACAGTTTTGTGCTTGAAGGACCCAGATTCTGACATTTTTTAAACATTTGACATTGGTTTTATGATGCCATGTACACATTCAGTGCACCTAATATCAGAGGTAGCAAAGTAGCCCCAAGATATTACAAATCTTCTCTGTTTAAGTTCATCCTGTCTGGCCCTGTCTTTGTTTTTCTCTGTTTCAGCCTTTGTTTTCTCGTTCCATTTGCTATTGTTTAAGTCAGCCATGTGCTTTTGTTGTTGTTTTGGTCTTGTGTCTCCTCTCTGGACCTGCCCTCTGTCATCTGTCTCACCTGTCTGTTGTCTGTAGACCCACCCCCTCATTAGTCGCAGGTGTTTCTGGTCTGTTGCATGTATATTTATACCCCTGCCTGTGTGCTTTGTGTTTGCTTGGTGTTTTGTGCTCTCAGCCCCAGTTTTGCTTCAGTAGTGTTCT